ACTGACTCAGTGAATCAAATGACTCAAAAAATCCAATTCACTTTGGTGAGTGACTCATTAAAACTCGATTCAGTAAAAAGAATCAAATCTACCATCACTACTGCTTTGCTAAGAGTTTTTAATGAATATGGCACCTAGCTATTTAACATTTGTATAACCAGTTGTATAACCCCCAAAAAGCACTAAGATCCTCTAATCAAATGCTCTTAATGCAACCCAGGTCTAGGCTGAAAACCAGAGGCAATCGTGCCTTTGCTATTGCTGCACCTAGACTATGGAATAATCTCCCTATTGCCATTCATACTTCTGATACTATTCAGTCTTTTAAATCTCGATTAAAGACTCATCTATTTACTTTGGCCTTGACTTAAGTTAGTTGATTATCATTTGGCAGGCTTCTATGTTTGTCTTGTGTTGCTGTTGTCTCACTGTTGGTAAATTATTTTACTTGCTCTTAATTTGAGAAGCACTTTGATCGACATTGTTGTTTTTAAATGTGCTATATAAATATATTTTGATTTGATTTGATTCTCCATTCCTTAGTTTTAAATTCTCCACTAGTACTTTATAGTTAAATTTAACGGTACTCCCTCAATAACTCATTTACTTCCATTAGTTCTCCTTTCCCCTACTCTTACAGTATTCTTCACTTTGACTTTGCACACCCTCACAAGTTTTCTTGCTTTTTCCACCTGCACTTCTGTGTTACAACCAACCAGTAAATTTCCATCTCTGAGTATCTTAGCATATTTGATTTCCCCAACTTGTGCTTTAAATGCTCTTGTTAGCTTAAGCTAGCTTTTTCTGCTCTTGCTCTTGACGAAGGCGGTCGCACTTTTCTCCTCTTCTCCTCCAGGTGGATGCCAAGGAATTTGGTGCTCTTACTGACCTCGATGTTAAATGGACAGTGATCTCTCTGTGCTCACCTGAAGTCAACAATCATCTCCTTTGTTTTGTCCACATTCAGAGAGAGAGGTTGGTGAATCTACACAAGTCTGTTCGATGTTGCACCTCCTCTCTGTATGCTGACTCATCGTTCTTGCTGATGAGACCCACTACAGTCATGTCATAGGCGAACTTGATGATGTCGTTCGAACTGTGCATTGCTGCACAGACGTGAGTCAGCAAAGTGAAGAACAGTGGGCTGAGCCACAGCCTCTTTGACCACATTAGTTGTTGTGTTTGCATGATAATGCAATAATTCAAATCACACCTGTCCACAACAGCAGCCACATCCAGAGCATGTGGGAAAGAAAGTCAATGATTCATGGGACCTTCTGAACAGAGAGGTTGAGGTGGGGGGTCTTCCCCCTCCCTCTTCTATTAAGGTTAGGGGGAAAAAATTATGCCTCTATGAGTGTTTTTCAATTCTTCAATTTTTTCTGAACTTCGGGGGCATAAAATTGTTTCGTTTCATCTGTTGTGTATCTGTGTCACAAAATCTGGCTTAAGTTTCACAGCAAACTTATTTCCCATATTCTGCACTGGAATGCAAGCTGGAAAATTTGTCTACATCCTGGTCTCATATAATACATGTTAACTATAGAGGACAAGTGAATTTATTTAGTCTAGGGAAGCGGTTTAAATACAACTTGTTTACATAATGTCACAGGAGCTGTGCAACTCTGTGGTGCCCTCTGCTGTCCCAATATCTAAACTGCAGGGAAAACAATAACATCCCTGTAATTTAAAACGAAATATACATATACATCTTTTGTTGTTTGTTTTTTGTTGCTGTTGTGAATAAAGACTGCTTCGAAGTTTTTTTTTTCTTCTGCTAGACATTTCAATGTAATGGTCTAATCAGAACATTTTTAATTTAATTAAACATGGCCGATCCAGTAAGGTACCGTCCTCTTACCAACAGTAGAGGGAAGCACAGGCCCATTTCACCATCGAGGGCTGTATTTTTGTTTATATAGCTGACACCTTTGTGGAATTAGTCTTTTATCCACACCGTTTAC